TATTACTACTTTTACATCTGCCGTTTGCATCGCAACAAGCATCTATATTTTGGCGCCTTTCAGTGCAGCCGCGCCTCCAAACTGATATATCTTGACAAGTTGGCGCACGGCCAAGTCCAAAAGAACATCCTCCGACCCGCCGGGAATCCGAGCACCGGGGACATCTCGATAGATAGCTGCAAAAGAGTCAGTAATTTGGCACCAAAAAACCCTACACATCCACAACGTTGTAAAGGCTTACCCTCGACCAATGCGCCCTGTCCCGAGGCCGTAAATCCATTGCCGCCAAAAAGCAGAACGGCGCACTGGGCACATTCGTTCAAAACCATGGCAGACTTGGCCTTGGCCAGGGCCGTAATGCCGCCGAGCTTCAAATCGGCCTCCTGCGACTTGAGGTGGCAAAGCTGATACAGAATCTGCTCCGTCCAGGCGTTCATCGTCTCCAGCTCGGCACCGGCCTTGGCCAGCCTGTGCCGCACAACAGGCTGGTCCATGAGCTTCTTGCCAAAGGCGTCGCGCTTGAGGCAGTACTCGAACGCGGCCGACAGCGCGGTCCGAGCCTGGCGCGTGACGCCCACGGCGATGATGAGCCGCTCGTGGTTGAAGTTTGTGAGGATGATGCGCAGGCCGTCGCCCTCTCTGCCAACGAGGTTCTCGACGGGGACCTTGACGTTGTCGAGCTCGATGTAGGTGGTGCCGCCGGCCTTTTGGCCGCTGACGGGGAGGCGACGCATCGACACGCCGGGATGTCCCTTGAGCGGGACGATGATGACGGAGAGCCCTGCGCGTCCTGGCCCCCCCGTGCGCACCGCCATGGTGGTGTAGTCGGACCAGATGCCATTCGTGATCCTAGGTCATGTTAGATCGAGTTCTAAGCAATCATGCGCTTGTTGCCGAGGGTTACCATTTCTTTGCTCCGTTGATGATGTAGTGCTTTCCGTCGGCGCTCTTCTCAGCCGTGGTGGTGATGTTGGCCACGTCGCTGCCCGCATCGGGTTCCGTGATGGCAATGCACGTGCGCTTTCTGCCGGTGAGAAAGTCGGGGAGAAAGCGCTCCTTGAGCTCTTTGCTCCCCCATTTGACAATGGGCGGGATTCCAAAGGCGAAGCCGGCAGTCAGCGAAGCTCCTGGGCCAGCTAAGCCGGAGCGGGCCAGCTGCAATCATCATCATCAGTTCCACGGACACTCCATCAGCATCCGCCTCAAGCGGTGTAGACGCACCTCGTCGCAGTAAATTCCGGTGTGCAGATAGTCCCAGTCCTCGACTTTGACGCCCAAAATGTCGTGGGTTCCGAGGCCCTTGAGCCATTCTACAGGCAGCGGGGCCGGCATATTCGGCAGCAGCATGCCGCTCTTGCAGAATGTGCCAAAGACATGCTCAGGAACGGTCCCTTCCTTTTCCCACTCGGCAGCGTTACAGAGCAAGTTGTCCCATAGAAACTGGCGGCAGGCCTTTTGGAACTGGCGATGTGACTCTGTGTAATACGGGGAAGGGAGGCCGCACAAGTAGGGCGGCTCGGAGAAGGGGACGGGGTTCGCTAGAGTATCAGCCATGTTGAGATTGAAGTTTGTGCTGACGGTGAAGAGAGGAAGTGGTTGGGATCGGTCGCGTGTTTGCAGTCGGCCTTACATATAACCACATGCGGTTCGAGTTAGCCGAGGCTGAGGCGGCCTCCCCGCACTTGGCGGCTCCACTTCCCGGCCGCTTCGACATCAAATCGAGCCGAGGGGCCGTCCCCCGCGTTGGTTCTTTGCTGCTGTCGCCGGAAGGGGCTTGAAATCGGGGCATGTGCTGCTCTGTTTCCACAAGTACAGCCTTGTGAGTGTATCCCCCCGTATTCGTACGGGGAAGACACAGCATGCCGTCCCACTTGAACACAAGTCTCGCCCCATAACGTACCGGGAAATGTGCGGCCCAGCAAGCAAAGATATGCTCGACAATGGTGGCTATATATAGAAATGAGCGGAAGCTCAAGTGCATGTAACCCTGGCCGATTGAAGCCGGATGACTGACAATGGAGCTCTCCCTAGCCCTCATACCTCCCCAACCAATCCAGTGGCGTGTAGGATAAGGCGGACGTCGTGATTTACAACGATTGACGTTTTGGCAGTCAATAGGCCTGTTGAAAAGGCATTGGTGGCTAGCAAAAGCTGTGCGGCTCGCCTTGTCTGGCCGCTGGAAGAGCCTTCGTTCCACGACTAAGCACTCACTTGAACGAATACGTAACAATCATGGATATCAATGAACCAACTTCCTTTCTATAGACTGATTCCAAGAAACTGACATGTTGCTAAATAGGACTACCGACAGAAGTAATCAATCGAAAGATTTCCCCTTATGACGCCGGGGCTTCAAGCTTCCACGGAGCTATGCGGACGTGATGATGTTGGAATATTACAGCATTTACACAGCGGAGAGGCAAGCTATTGATGATGACTATGATTGTATTGATTGATGATCGATGATGAAGGTGGCCCTTGAAGGCCCTGCAAACTGAATCCATACTCAGAGCGCCTGAAAACCCCTGTCAGGGCTCCTTTTGACTCGAGCCCTAATTGAGTCCCCCAAAAAGTGACTATCGCGACTAGCAGGCTAAAAGAGAGCCCACTGAATCAGCTAGATGCGGTTACTGCCAAGTTGCAAACACGGAAGAGTGTGTATGCGTTCCCATTCTAACCACCATATGAACAAGGGGGGTATAATTCAAGTTCACTAAAAAGAGCCTTTTCCTATGACCATTCAATAAATAGTGCGTTTCTAAAGAATGTAGCTTAGTGGTTTCTGTCTTGATCAACTGTTAAAGGAATACATGATTGGATCAAATTCCCTCCACCACTTTCACCCAGGCGTATTCAGCAAGTTTAATAGCCACGAAAATAAGGCTAAATAGCCAAGGACAAGTCAAATCGTGTTTTCAACCTTCTCTCATCTGAGTACAGAGAGCGAATAGACGTCCCCTAGAATTGTTCTAGTAAGAATTTACATTGTTCCAAGGAATACACAAACGCACCGCCAGTGTTGAATCTTGTGCTCTTAGTTATGAAAATATCCGTCGGGAAGATGATTACTCATGAAAAAATAGGCAAGCTAATACAGCCGAATTAACTTATGAAATCGCTCATGTTTGACCCCGTAGAGAGAGGATAAGCAGGTAAATGACCAGGCACATAAAGGTTGACTCATTAGGGCATCGTCTACGCCCTCATTCAGCCTCATAGAAGCGTCCTTGTGTTAGTTGCCGCACTAGACCTCCAACGGCTGCGAGTGTTTCCCAAATACACCATCGCAATCAGTGCTTGTCTTGCAAGAAGGGGTGGAAATATTCGTATCGCCCTCCACCACAGTTCCGTAGGACATTCATCCCTAATGTTCCGTTAAATATTTCATGGAATCAATTTACTAATCGTTTATTTTTAAGCTTAGAAACTTTATTGCTCGTATTAGACTTGCGTTTATGATGAGACTTCTTTGTTGGCTTTCCATAGCCCCGAAGAAATCTGACGGCAAGAGCCTATCCCAACTCTTCGTGGCTATATTTGTAGAACGCTCAACGAGGGCTGGGCCTGATGTTTTTTTGAGTCGCGGATATTCGTGATGGAGAACAGCCAGACCACCTTGGTAAAAGCTTTCTCATCTGACCGTATTCGTAATCTCGTCTGATAATGTTATTTATCGACCTTTCCTCAAGTCACTTCAGCCTCGAGTGAGTTTCTGGTGAGGTCTTGCAGACCTGAGCTGTTCACCGAGTAATAGATTCCACAATGAGCATATTGTTACTCCCAGTAAAGATAGAGACGGTTTGGCTCGGCCGCTTGCCCGCGGGTGTTACCTCACTCTAGGAGTAGGGGGGCACTCGCTCCCCTTCACATGTGCGATATTCCGGATGGTAGTATGCAACAGGAACAGGAACAGTTGGCCCTGATTATTGCAATCGTTACAAGTGACGTGCTTGGGCCGGGTTCTGTTTTCCAGGAGCTTCCTTTTTACACCTAATGCTACGTTGGCCTTGGGCAATATGCCATTTCACATGCTTGGGGGGTTAACGCAGAAGCAAGGCGAAATGGTTGCGGCACCATGCTACGTGCTCTGGATGTTACCTGCTCTGGCCAATGGATAAGATGCTTCCACCGTCCGAACAGGTATCTGGACGATGCATTTCCAGTCACGAGAGCCTAAGTTGCAGTCTCGTAGTTCCGCAGCCGCGCTAAGCATCGCTTGAGCAAACTTACAGATGCGGAACAACCATACAGTGGGAATCATGTATTCACCTGTCCAGGGTCACCACCTTTTGATCCCGGTGAATATCAAGAGGCGCCTCGATGTATCAGGTATACTTGATACCGTCGAACCTGCATGGCAGCATACTGTACCCACGCCCGCCAATGCGAGGCAACTTCGCGGCCCGACGAGCACCCATCCATCGCCAGGATCCGCACAACTACACCTGTTAGTATGCAAGTAGTTTCCTCGATGATATTTCAAAAACATAAAAAAAAAAAAAACAAAAAATTGGAGAGGCAACACTCGGAAAGGAGGAGAGAACAGGATGACACGTGGCCTGAAAACGGGTGCTGATTGGCCTCACAGACGTGACTTGGGCGTCGCAGTGCATTCTATGCCCAACGGCAGCTCTCACAGTATCGGGCCCGTATGCACCATATCTCGTTTCTGGATGTCTGCTTCCTCCATGAAAACCTCACTCATGCCCAACTAGCCTATGAAGCGGAATTTCCAGGCAAACAGAGTATCATCAGAGACTTCCTGTTGCTACATGCAAAGCAACCTCGTCTAAGAAAGAAACGAGACAGAACATGTTTATTGTCCCGCCACTAACCGGTGGTGTGAATATGTGAACCTCATATGGGCATGGAGAAGACACACTTGTCCGCGTGGTATTTATCAAGATCCCCTCTCTTGTGTTTGCTCTCCCCGGAACAACGGACCACCTCTCTATGCCAAGTTTCACCTGACTCAACCTCCGTGACTTCCTATAAACAAAATGGGCACCCAAACCACCACACAGACCGTCGAGACCATGTCTGTGCCGGCAGACATGCTGGCTCTCCGCACGGTCGACCAGCAGCCATTGTGCGTTACTGTTCCCGGCAACGCGCCAATCACCGTGACTGGCCACACCAATGCCAGATACTTCCAGAAAGTCACTGTCGAAGACATTGCAAATAAAACAACCTACGTATTTACAGGATCGGGTGAGGACGAGACGGCAATGGAGGTCCAAGGCTCCAAAGAAAAGGGGGTGGTGCTGCTGCATGCCCTGGAGAGCAAGCCACTTTATCGCACCCTAACGGTACTCTGCGAGTACTCATCCCAAGGGCCCAGCGGTCGCCTTGAGAAATCGACCGTCTTGGTGCCCCGAGTGCTTTATGAATACAACGGACCCCGACATCTGAAGCGAATGTCATGGGAGATATTCACCGAAGATGGCGTGGACAACGACTACAACGACTCGGTGATTCGGATTGTGGCCGACGTTAACCAGGATCTCAGTTAGAATGGACGAGAGCCTAGCCGCTGGTGAATGAGGACGGCATGATGTGGTGGATATGAGTCTCGCCGTCCTAGGATTGTGTTTCAGTTCGACTTGGGCTGGATTTGGACTCGATTCATGGACGCAGGTTAGGATATAGCACCGCATCGAATACATATTTGTCGGGCCGCAAAGAATTTTACCTAGCAGCTCAAGATTTAAAAATGTTCCCGAGTATGTTGTGCTAATTTCATTAGAGATGTGACTACTTATCCAGTGCTTGCCTGTTAAACTTGGAGAATGAATCGGAAACTTTCCTATAACACTCGTAAAGATGACTAAAGAGAGCTCAATCTATCAGTAACCAGAGCTCTATTGTTATGAGTGTTCAAATAGGAAATGTTAGATGAAACAATATTTATATTCGTTTATAAGAGTGTCACATTCTATGTGGTTATTCTAAACTATAACGGAAATCACACCCAGTAAAATCTTACTATTTGAGCAAATACTCAATAAATGGCTTGCTATCCTCTTCGTATACTTCTATATCTTCTTACGCTTTGCTAAGTCCAGAACTTATACTAAACCAAAACGATTGTTTCTTAAAATACTACGTCACTCCAGACGTGCCACGTAAGCAGGAAGGTCTCGTGGAAGCGATATGGGACTCTGTCTGTTCGAGTTGTGCTCCCTGGGCTTCCGTATCAGGCTGAGCGGTAAGGCGGTCTGTTTGCACTAGCCTCTGTCCGGTTCTACTGGGCCGGAACCCAACTACGAGAGAGATTATCGACGTCGAGATCCCCTTTGCTTAATTTAGGTTTCGATATCAGCCGCCTAGCTAGTTGTTGATGTAGTACTGTGGACCGTTAAATTTCTCTGATATATCGAGTTATCAAGGGATTATGTGCTTGTTTACACATTGCTAAGATACCATTGGGACACGAAATGACTACGCTGCTAGTACCTTATTAGAAGGGAAGTTTCTGCCATGGTTATGGTGATTCAATGGAACCAATCTTTGTAACGTCCCGCGGGCTAGTGAGCTTTATTAGTCTTTGGTCATGTTGACACCACTAGCAGATGCCATCCTGCCTAGTACAATCAATTGTCATTTCAAGTCTATCCGGCAGATACGTTCTTACTACTAACTTTATGTTCATAAATTCCTCGGTCAGCAGGAAATGTATATTTTGATGGCCAGACTGAATCAGTCGCCCGTGGGATGTTTTGATCAGGCAGAAGAGGAAAAATACCGCTCCATAGCGATGATGACAGACTTTCAAGTTTGCAAAGCACCATTATAAGAAAGCCTTCTTTGTACTTGGGACTATGCTACTCTTCTATATTTAAATTAATTATAAATATGGTTCTTGCTCATGATAACTATGTTTGGCTTTACATATTATGAGTTCTAGTTTAATCATGTTTAGGGTGGAGATACTAATTGTCCTGATTTTTGCGACCGTAATCACCGTACGACTATACTTGCTTACGTGCCCGCACCGCTGCAGACGCACCAGTAGTCTAATATATTTTCATTTCGTCGAGTCACGTCCTGGCACTTGAAATAGAAACACAACTATCAACAGAGAGTCATGAAGGACTTGCCGATATTTACTGCCGCACTCACAGGCCTCACTGCTTGTTTGCCCCGCAGTTACATTCAGCAAGGAATGACTCCGGCGAGGTTACCATATCTACGGCATGGATAGCGCGTCTAAACCAACGTTGAACCGTCAAGTCAGGGGTGACGGAGGCCAGCTTGACCCCAGTGAACAGAACAGTGACACCGACTAGCAACGACCCTGGTCCGGAATGAAGATAAGGGACGAAACGTATAAGTGGAGAGAGAAGTCAACTGGAGAACCTGTCATGAACATGGGCTTGACCCCTATGCATAAGGCTAAGCTATAGGTTCGGAGATGAACCCTGAACCCCCAGAAACTCCCGTTCCGTCGGCACTTTGTCATGCGAACTTATCTGTCAACCACCCTTTTTTGACAGTGACGTGACATGGATGCCAAGGCTTGCAGCCCAATCGCATTCCTGCTACCCATAACACCATGTACGTTTCATACGCAATGCCTTGTCCACTTACATTGAACCAAATTTGCATGTTTAATACTAGAAATAAGGACAATGGAAGTTTGAAGAGCGGAATGAATATATATGAGGTCTTGCTGATGCCACCACTGGGAGAGTCAAACAAAAACATCAAATGCAACTTCATCTATTCTCATTTCACTCATTTTCCGACATGTTTGGGCTGGCTTGCTTGGCACTCGCCTTGCCTCTTACGGCAGCTCTTCCCCAGAGCCGTCCAGAAAGTCAGACACCTCCCTTCAAAGCTGATCTTCGGGTCGATACCAATCGCGACGGCACGGTCGATCTTAGCGGCACGACTGATACCAACGGCAAGCATACATGGTCAGAGACCTCTGGTGCCCTTTTCCTCCCAAATATAGGGCATACCGGACGACATTGCGGGAATAATGACCTCTGCCGTGATGCTTCTACAAATTTGCAGTGGGCACCAGAATATATGGCCCCGATGCGCACAGTGCCCATGCCAGACATTCGCGGCTCAGCGACTGCGACTATTGCTGTAAGTGGCTCGAGAAAACGTCCGTAGTTTCCTTGATTATCCGGGAAGGATCGCGGAAATCAACTTCGAGTATCTCGACGAATTGCCGCCTGTCGAGAACGACCGTTGGGTGTACCTCGAGAAGGACACGCCAATCCCAGCGGACAAGTTCATCCCATCCAAGTCGCGATGTAACATCACAATTCATCGTGAGTCTGGAAAGAACCTTGCAAAACAGAGGTGTTACACTTTTCGTCACGTTATCAAAGTTGTAGTTGGCTGTGCTTTATATTCAGGGTTGTAGATGAGATGCGTTGGCGCCGTATCTTAATTACAAGAGCGTGTATACAAGCATTGTTGTATGGAAGCTTCCGAAGTAGCCACCAACACTATCATGATGGATCCTCGCGCCTAGAAGGTGTGAAGGATAGCTCATGAAAGACGAACTACAGCTGGCTGCAGAAATTCACAGTCTGAACGTATTGATCAAGCATAGACATTTGTCCCCGGTGTCTAAACATCTTCCCTGTGTATATTCCGAGCCCACTCATTGTGAACTATCTCTAACTTCATGGTCTGGTCTATGCAAATGCATTGAGTAAGCCATAACAGCATCGGGACGCAACTATGGCGGCGATGGCTAATCCAGAGATATAAGCTAACGGCTTAAACATGGAAAAGTTAAGGATTGCATGGCGCAAAAAAAAGTACTGTCAATCCATGTTTTACTGACAAGGGTTCAGGCTGCGGACAGACCAAGTTATTGAACATGCTGCTGCATCACTTGCAGGGTCTAGTCTGCCCATTCCATAAATAGCCTAAATCTGTCGTATCTCTATCCTGTAGGGTCTACAGACTCATTTAATCCGTGTTCCGCTATGACGCTCAGCACTTGCCTTGGGGTGATGCCCATGGTAAGACAACTTGTTGGACCGCTGTAAGCTGAGACGCACTGTAAGAGTCGACAAGTATTGAAAATAGCTTTGGTCTGTGGAAAGAGTCGTGGAACCCGATCTGCTGGGAACGCTGGTGCCTAATGACTAAGCCAGATAAATCTCCAAGGCAATGTTATGTGCATGGGACATGTCTGGTTGCTGACGATGAGTGGTCCACGCTGTCGCACAGTTATGTGTAGCTAAAGTGTTAATACAACCAACCGACATTTGCAGCTTCACCGACAATTCAACAACCATTGAGGGCTTACTATATTGCGCTGGCCCACTTAGTTGTCAACGGGTAAGTTGTGTTGGTAAACTTTGATTGGCTGGATAGGGTCAACTGGTCTATTATTGATCAGGCAGCCCGCATCCCACGACCCTCGGCTTGTGAATGTCGGACCGACAAATCTACACTCTCGAGTCTCAGCCCTTCGCCCAGCATACATGTTCCGACTTGACCCAATCAATTGCTTATCATGTGCTGTTCTACACCCCATTGCACAACTCTTGTCTTATTTCATCTCGCCATTGTATTCCGCCATCGAAACATAGTCTTGTGCCTAGGACGTCCTTGTTAGAGTTAGAAGGCAGACCTAATGGCATACTCGCGATACCGACCAACTTCCCACTTCATCGCACCACACTCATGGTCCAATGACCCCTGCGGCGCAGTGTACATCCCAGAATCACGGGAATACCTCGTCTGTTACCAATGGAACCCGGGCACCACTGAAGGAGGCAACTGCGCCTGGGGCATGGCAAAGAGCAAAGACCTCGTTACCTGGGAGGATTGCAAGCCCGCCATTTGGAACGGCACCTCATACGATTCCCTGGGCGTATTTTCCGGATCGATTGTTTCAAGATTAGCTGCGGGCAAAAGAGTCTTATACCTGTATTACACCAGCGTATCTGCCCTGCCAATCCACTGGTCTCAGCCGTACATCAAGGGATGCGAAACACAGTCAGTCGCCATCTCCACAGACTTGGGTCAGACTTGGGTCAGGCACCGGAATAATCCGTTGCTGACAGTCCCTCCCAAAGAGGGCGCAACCACAGGATGGCGCGATCCGTTCGTTACCCAATCACAATCGCTGTCAAAACTGCTTGGTCTGAGTCGAGACACGAATTACATGATGCTTTCCTCGGGCGAGCGGAAACGCGGTCCTCAGCTCCATCTATACAAGTCTCGCAGCCTTTCATCCAGTTCATGGGAATACGTTTCGACCGTTTTGGATGTTGGGCTGCACGATTACATCTCCAAACGAAGCAACTCAAGGTGGGGTATCAACTTCGAATGTGCCAGTTTCTTCAACATGGGTGAAACGGACTACATGATAGTTGGCGTTGAGGAGACAGAAGAGAGCAAACGCCATAATGGCCACTCTCTGCTCTGGATGTCCGGCAAGTTTGTGTTAAATGAGCACAACCTGCCCATATTTGATATTCGCGGCCACGGCATGCTCGATCATGGCGTTTTGTACGCCGCGCATATTTTCAAAGATGCAGAGAACCGCCTGATACAGCTGGGATGGGCGGACGAGACTGCAAAGAAACAGCTGGTTCAGGGACAAGGCTGGGCCGGCTGCCTAGGCCATCCGCGAGAGATTGCGGAAATTTCACGACCGCTCGTCCACGACGTCGAGTCATGGCCAGAATGGCACATTGACCACTCGTCTGGGGTCATGAAAACGCTGGGAATTCGGCCAGCGCCGCAGGTTGATACCCTCCGACAGGGGCTTCCAGACTATTCTTCTCTTGAAGACCTCAAAACCCTTCGGTCGAAGAGCTACGAGTTGAAAATGACGTTTTCTCATTTGTGTGGTTTGGAAAAGTTTGTCCTTGACGTGCTCCAATCGCCTGGCTGCACCGAGGTGACAAGGCTCATTTTCGACCTTGAACAACAGCAGATGGTTGTAGACCGATCAAGGTCGTCACTACAACAGTTGAGCGCCACTGCGCCTGACTCGGGCGACCTCAGGCTCCTGCCAGGGGAAGATCTTCAAGTTAGGATCTTCGTCGATGTGTCTATTGTCGAAATTTTTGTCAATGATAGGTTTGCGCTCACTTCACGGGTGTATCCGTCAATGGAGACTTCTACAGCCGCCGCGTACGACTTGAATGGGTTTGACGAGGGAAACGTCAAGTTTGAGTGCTGGCAAGGATTGAAGAACGCTTGGCCGGCAAGGGGTTCCGGCTGTGGCCTATTACCGGAGCTACACCCTTTGTATCAGAAGGCAGAGAATAAAAAAATGGACAAGGACAGTTTCGCTACCCGTAGCGAAATGCCTCTGGAAATGGCCGCAGTTTCGTGAACTCCATACGTGGTAGATCTCTCTAGTCTGTGAAAGATGTACGACGTACACCGTTGATAGAGCCACCAATCAAGATCAGGAAGTGTCCAAGTCACGAAGCACCTGGGGACATGTTGCCGAATAGGTTGCCCATTGGGCACTGAGCTTCGCATTCTGAGTCCATCGCTTCCCATGTCAGCTAATGGCCGGTTGACACATTGCTGTATTTCCCTCTTAATAAAAAAGGTTGGCCGAGAAATATTCCATGTGGTCTTGCGGCAACGCGGCAGCTCTTCCACTAATGTGACTTGAACTGTTCAACTTCGTCCCGAGTAAATAAGCTCCAGCCTCCATTGAAAGGAAGCAGATGAAGGATACGCGCATCTATGGCTTGAATGGCCATGGTCTCACTACATTAACATCCCAATGCCACCAAGATTTCTGCAATTATCCCTTTTCTTACGCCCTTGCTCGTGGGAAGTGCTGTGTGTAGTAAACATTTTCGGTTGACCATGGTTGTCTCGGCCGAGAGTACCGTCAATGCGCCTTGGAGCGCCTCGATATGATTGAACAAATTTCGCTTGCTGAGATGGCAAATTTCAGGTCAGATTGTGTAAATGCACCACTTCGGATCTGCCAAGATACACCCGAATCGTTATGTTACTCGGGTCTCTTGAGCCATTCTCACTGCACCCTAGGCATAGTTGACCGTCCGATGAGGAACTACGAGTAATGACAGCATCGCATTCTCGTGTCTCGGGCCGAATGAGCCTTGCCTTGTATTTCCTTGAACGAAGGTGGTTTCTTTAAGCCGAAAGTTCTTCGACAACAAGATCACCAAGACTCGCTAAAGGCGACGAGTTGTCAGGCCCACTTATGACATCCGAGTGCGACTGACCCAAAAGTCCGCCCATCATCGTCCTCTCCTTCATTACACTCTAGGTTTTGGGCACCGGCCACTAGGTATAGCAGAAATCCATTTTCGGCGTCGTTGAAGTGCAAGACACATGTAACTGGTGCATGTGCCAGCCTCGCAATATAATTGCCGAACATTGTCTCTTTCGGCGTCGGTGAAGAGACTGTCAGTTTCGTCCCACGTGGCATTCACCCCTTGCAGCTGAGCCGACTAGAAGTTGTCAAGTCAAGAAAAAATTCACTTGCGATCACGGCTCAGACTAGATGGTCCTTTGGTCAAAACCATTCCTGTCGCTGTTTCCAAGCTGTCGCAGAAGTGCATCTTTACATCGTCAGCAACCCCCCCTTCGTAGGTTCAACAACGAACAGAAAGCTCACCTCCAAGCTTCCACCTAGAAGAAAAACCCGTCAGCGCGTGCCTGAGATGTTGCGCATCCCCATTCTTTAAGCCATTTGGGCAGAGATGATCAAGGTGGACAGAGGCAGCCAGCAAACAACACAACCCCAAAAAGCAAGGCCGTCTATTGTTGTGCCAGCCGTGTCTTTGAAGCAGCTCGCTCTCGACTCGGCAGGTGTCAATGATCAAATTGTATGCGCACGTGGCCGCTATGTTTGACTTTGCATCGCCTGTGGCTGACTTGAGATAGTTTGTTTTCCGGTACAGAATCATCAAGGTACTGAATGGCACCGTTAGAACACCCACCACTTATTCGTAATGTAAAGCTCATGGACACGTACCTAAGCGACATGGCAACAGCTTCGCAGAGGGGAAACCGCCCTCCTTGGGTCTTGGAGACGTAACTGCCAATTTGGCCGTATATCGTCTTTTCGATAGCCTCGCATTGTGCCAAGTCGGTAGAGGATCCTATGGACCTTAACATGTCACCGAGGCGCAGGGCATGTTGTGCTCGGGCAAGTAGATTACGAACAGCATCTTCGCCATACATGTCATCATTCGAGGCTCTGTGGAGTAGAGAGTCTTGCGGCACCTCGCTTGGGTGGACCAGTTGCGGAAAGTCATGGTCAATAGTTGATAGCACAACGGTCCTGGAGCAGGTGAGTACTCGTGAGCGCCGGTGTGCCTTTTTGCAGGGCCATACTCACATATCGAGGAGAATTATCGCACTCAAGCATAAATCTAGCTGCAAGCGGTGAAAGGAGAGCTGTCGGCCTGTTTGGCTAGCGGATTTGGTTATGTGGTCATTCAGGTTGATGCGCTGAAGAAGGCTCCGGCAGGCGATCAATGTCTCATAGGCATCCTTGCTCATGCCATGTCCAATCTCATGCGTTGCGATTATTACCCCGGACTGCATTAGAAGGACCTGTGCTGTGGTGTCTGATGAGGCTTGGAGAATAGATAAAAGGCTTTTGACCGTTCGATACAAAGTATGTCGTACTGGGTTATTTGCGTGTTGGCACGGCGGAGTGATGAAGAGGTACATGCAGACTATCATGAGAGCAAAAGCATCTTCTTCGACAGTGCAAGAAGCCTTTTGGGAAACAAAATTGTCCGTCCTCGTGAGGACATTGTCCCGGTCCAGAATTGGCAGCCAATGATGGGCGATGTCGAAGTAGCTTCTCACGGTGCCCACTACGTGAACACCAGCTGAATCGAAGATTTCATTGATTGTAAGAGACAAAGATGCTTGCGGTACGTCTCCATCATCAGCAAAGGTGCTATTTCTCGCGCACGCTGCCCAGAGCAGGGCGCGCTCGCCAGCAGGGGACAAGTCAAGTGGGCAAAGGCCTCGCAAGACAACCAATGTATCCGCGGCAAACTGGGAGACTGACGCAAGTTGGCGCAAAGCAGCCTGATCTCTCGCAGGGTATGTACACTTGACGACTCTCCTATTGTAGTCATCAGCATTTTGCACTCGGCAATCAGGAGACGGGCTCCCGCGCAGAACAGAAAGATACATACGCCGCGCAGCGGGAACAGCTAGGGATGACCCTATCACACCGCTGCTTCTGCTGCCTGCAGCTCAGACATGCTCCAGGAGCCAATTCAAGCGGGAAGTTGGCCATTGTCATGTTGTTCTATCACGCAATAGCTCTGGCCAGCCTCAAGCGGATGACGTCGCAGTTGGCAGGGGAGCGGTGTAGACGATGCTGCAAGAGTGGCGGAGCAGCGGATAGTGCCCGAGATTAAGCTTGGAACAGAAGGTTTGCTGATGCTACTCGAATCTTTCTGAGTTCGGCCTCGTCGGAAGATTGAAGACGCGGAAGATGAAACGTCTTCGTGCTGCTTAATCAAACCCACTCACTTCCTGTTGCAGAAACAGTCGAGTCTCCACCCGGCCCCATATTCTGCCAGGGTCGGCCGACCCTGGTCAATTCCTGCAGTTCTAAAGTCCCCAGCCATTTTGAAACTAGAAAGAGACAGGGATCGGACGATCCCTGCACGACTCACGTGTTTGTGACATTGTAGTTTGAAGGTTTTTGCTTGCTGCACTACCAAAAATTGAAATCTCCTTGGTAGTGCATGCTTGCTTATCTGGTATGGTGCACCATCACATAAGCAGCTCAAGTCAGTCATGGCCTGTAGTGGCCGTTGGGCAAGTCCTTTGTAAGCACCGTGGGTCTACGGCAATGGAAAACACACAAACTTTAGATCCTTGCATCGTGCTCCATACTAGATAGCAAAGTGGGGATATTTACGTCAATATACAAGAAATGCGTCGATGAACCAAATGTGTATAAATATCAACCGTCTGCCTCTATGCCGAGCACAGTCAGTTTCACCTCCAAGCCATTACCAACATCCCCAATCGTGGACTTTTTCCCCTGCCCAATATACAACCATCATGAGTCTTCCAACAACTGCACGCGGATGGTCCGTCCAGGCCATCGACAAGGACAGCTTCGATGGACTCAATTTTCAAGAGAGCATACCTCTCCAGCCGCTCGGAGACTACGACGTGCTTGTCAAAATCGAAGCAGTCTCTCTCAACTATCGAGACTTGGCTATCCCGAGGGTTTGTAGTCGGACCTGCGACTCGAAATCCTAAAATGTCAAGTAGCTAATGCGTCATTAGGGCCGGTACCCGTTTCCCATGAATCTACCTGTTGTTCCCGGGTCCGACGCCGCTGGCATCGTCCTCGCGGCCGGGCCAAGGGTAACCAAGATTGCAAAAGGAGATAGAGTCTGCACTCTGTTCAACGAGCTTCACCAAGCGAACCCAATCACGCCCGAAGCGGTCGAAAGCGGACTTGGAGGTGCAGTAGATGGCACCCTGCGCACCTACGGCGTATTCAAAGAGCAAGGCCTTGTCCGGGCTCCAGCCTCCCTCAACGCCGTCGAGGCCAGCACCCTCACCTGTGCTCCATTGACAGCATGGAATGCCCTCTATGGTCTGCAGTCCAAGGCCTTGAAAACAGGGGACTGGGTTTTGGCCCAAGGCACAGGCGGCGTCAGTCTTGCCGCCATCCAATTCGCCGCCGCAGCGGGAGCCACGGTGGTCGCTACGACCTCATCAAATGACAAGATCGAGTTCCTGAAGAAACTCGGTGCTTCGCACGTCATCAACTACAGGGAAGCTTCCAACTGGGGCGAGGTAGCCAGGGATTTGACACCCGCGCGCGCTGGGTTCGATCACATTTTGGAGATTGGCGGCCCAGGGACCATTGCGCAGTCACTAAAGGCCATCAAGTTGGAGGGTGTAATCACCATCATTGGTTTCCTCAGTCCTTCTGATAATCAGCCGCCATTGATGGAGGTGCTCAATCGCCTTTGCACTGTCCGGGGCATCTTTGTCGGCTCGAGGCAGCAATTCGAGGAGATGAATCGGGCTATTGAATCGGCAAAGATTCACCCCGTGGTAGACCCCAATATCTTCACGCTTGATGACTTGAAGAAGGCATACCAGTATCAGTGGGAGGGAAAGCATCTCGGAAAGCTGGTGGTGAGAGTCGCCAGCTAGTTGGCTGTGTTTAATGATGACCAAGATGATGCCCGGAACTCGGGAATGAACTAGCCATGATGATGTTTGAGAACGCGAGTATGACTGAGTTGTGTTTTCACTTCCCAAATTGTTGGTCTTGCGGTAGGAGATGAGTACCATGAGCCTGAATGCATCTTGGTATCCAAGCAAATGGAAAGCGATACAGTTTTCTACATGCTCCCAAACACAGCTCTATGAGAATTAGGCATGCTCACGTGTGTGTGAATTGTTCCCCAACGCCGTTTCCTGCAGAATTCCCTCACGACGCCGCCATTTTGCAACTGCGCATGTAATTGGTGGGAGGCCGATTGGCAAGGCCGGCTTACTCCGTGACGCGAGCCCTTTCCACAAATTGGCTATCCAGCTCAACCAATGCAACAAGACTTCCCATCGGCCTTCTTCCAGAACACCGACTGTGGACCCGGCACTTGGTAGGGAATAGGCTACCCGTCGACAAGATGGCGCAAAGCAACGTGTTTGTATCGTGGCATCTTGACGCCCGCAACGGCGAGTTCCCGACGTGACCGAAAGACCGCTCTCGCTTTTCCGTGCCGCAGCCTTCATTAGAAATCGACTCGGAGCAGCGCATTGCCCGGCGTTGTTCAGATAATCAAAATCATGGTGTATTGATGACTTCTGTCCCATAAAGATGCTTTGTTGCCCTCAACTCCGACGTCTAGGATCCGGGATGAGCAGCAGCTCAGATAACTAATACAGCAACCACGGAAATTGCACGCGATGCAAGAAATAAATGACCAGCTGTTTTCAAAATCTCCATGGCCTCAATACATGGGTTTCTCATTTCCGCAAAGCTTCGTTGCCCAGCCACAGGAGATAAGTGGTCCTTTCCAGCCGGTGTGTACCTTCGCTCCAGATCACTGCTATTCGTCGTGTGGTTAACATAACTTGATTCAGGACCAAGTCGATGCCAGCATTAATGGGCCTGCCGTTTATCTCACCGACGATTTGGCCCATCTTTTGAATGATGCTCTACCGTCTGCAGACAAAGTAATACAGACCCCTGAGAGCCCCTCCTCACAGATCTCAGAGTGCTGCAGCTCTGGTCTTGATGATGCGACCGCATGTCGCCGGCCCAAAATGGCGGCATTGGCTCCGGCACAGCCCAGATTGCCACCCGGTGGAGACTTGAAGCTACCACGGGGTCCGAGATATCACAAGCGAAGAGAGCAGAATCGGGTGGCGTATGTGCTCCATACTTCTTGTGCCATTTCTCTTTGTTCTTTTTAGACGTGAATCACTAATCCGAAACCACGGCACCTAGTCAACGCGCGTTTAGATGGCACAAGGAACAGCATCTCAAGGACCTCGAAGACAAAGGGGCGGTTCTGGAAGCGACTAGAGTCAGGATCAACGCCGAGAACGCCCAACTGCAAGAAGACCTGGAGCGAGCTACCATAGAACATTCTCTCCTGCAAAACTTGACCCAGTCCAACAGCCCATTGGATTGCGCCGACCGGTCCGAACGCTCGTCTACATCCACTCCCTGTCGTGAATGGTTCGCGAGCCCGCCACCCACTTCAAGCTTCGAACCACACTCCCTGGTGGGCACGCGTCCGCTGTACCGTGGACATCAGCTTAATGGGGGACAGATATGGAAGTTCATTATTGGTCACCATCTGTTCCAGCAAGGACTGGCGGACGTTGACATGATTACCCATGAACTGCGCAGGTTCCGTCAACGGGATGAAATGGAGGGTATTACAGAAGACATTCTCACCAACTGCATTCAGAAGAGCGTGATGCCGCGGCAGGAGGGTTACAGTTAACAAATAAATTCCGCCAGTCATCGATTTAGCTTCAGCATCTTAATACCAACCCTGCTCAGATTTCGTGCATAGTCTTTTCGCCGACTCGTGGATGATTCCCGACTCCACAAATCCCATGCCGTGCCATGTTCGACATGTCAAAATAAGCCCTTGGCGAGTAAGACAGCCCGGGCCGACCGGTGACGTCGGTTACCGCACATGGGGCACAGAAAGAGGGGAGTAATTCGGCTTGCGCGGTACGGAGTATTGATAGCTCAACTTGGTTGTGGCGGATAGTTCCGCCGTTGTGACGGAACGCGTCCGTGGTGACAAGGGCGGCGTGAACTAGCCAGCCTGGCAAAATACGGTGGCGCTTTCCTCACTCAAAGCTCTATGTTTGAGTTCCTGTCAAACGGTGCTCCGTGTTGGGGGTGGCTGGAACGGCTTCTCGCCCAAAGCCGATGATGCCGTGGAGGTCGGTATTTCTTCACATGACAAACGGGAAGAACATATCAGCTAGTAATGATGGTTAGGCAACTTCGTGTTGTCGTATTTATATATCATCATGTTTGAGCCAACTGACAATGTTTGTCTTTACAGCGCATCAACGAAGTACTGTTATCGCTCGCGATAAACAGTGAGTTACCCTTTATGCGTTAAGGCAGATTCGTTTAGACGCAAGGAATTTTTATAATTCACCCGCTAGAGTTATTTTAACATACAATGGATGAACTGGTGATGTCCTTGTACATGGAGATTTTGTTTGGGGACGGAAGACATGGCTGAAGAGCGAGTGCGAAGTAAATGAAGGCGTCCGTCCTCGACACACAGATAGCCACAATTACGCAAGGGCTCCTCTTACGGTAAACTGCTTGCTTATGTGGCTGTCGGCACATTGTGAATGAACCGACACCCCGCAACCTGTGCTTGAGTGGCGACAAATCCATCATCAACAATGCCCATGTGTGTCTCCTGAATGGAGTGACCCAGTAACGCCCCTCGTAATGGCGAGAACGTATGGGACGGCGTGTGTGCCATGTCGTCGCTTAAAGATCAAATGCATGTACAGCACTGCAGATCCTCACAGGTGCGAAAGATGTGCCAAGGCAGGCAGGCCGTGTTTCGCAGAGCCACGACGCCGGCGAGTTGCAAAGCATGGTGAGAAAGATGATACTGGAGTTTCCGTGGGAAAGTAAGCAAAATGTGGTGTTAATAAACGACACGCGGCTCATGTGATTACAACAACCGTAAGGCGACTGGCTTCGTAGCTGCTAACAGCCGACGTGTGATAGGGCAACAGGTACTGAGCAGAGTTACTCTGCACGACCGGCCGAGGATTTCAACAAAGTGCAGCCCTCATTTTCAAACTAAGACCTGCCCAGCGATCCTAACCGCAGAATGGGAAGTATTGGTGGCCCGGGGAGAGATTGTACCGAAACATCATCGTCTGTCAGCCCACGCCGGGATTCAACGCTGGCCGTGAGAACCTCTCCCGAGGGGACAAAGCCCAATGACTCGGAGGGATTCACACCTCCTTCCTTTGTGTTGCATTCCGAAGATGCGAGGATCTTATAACTGGATACAGCGTTAGACCCAAGAAGTTTAGGGGGCAAATCGAGCAGCGAGAAAGCAGATTCGAGTCTTGGAAGTAGCGACTCCGTCGGCAAAAACGACCTCATTCACCTCAGACTTCTCAATCGACCATCCGCTCAACACTTGTACGAAGGATACTTTACTCATTTCGAGTATAACGTAGGCTTCTTAGACCCTGTGCTATATACCTTCGACTACACACGGCAAAGGTCAAGCTTCTTGTTCACCGTCCTAATGTCAATATCAGCGCGGGTGTTTCGTCCAGACCTGGCCCCAGTCTTGAGAAACCATGCGGAAACACTCCTGGGCAAAGTGTTGCTCTCATGTGATGCAGAGATTGAAAACATCTGGGCCATCGTGTGCATGTATTACTGGAAAGAGCTCGGAGACAAGCGAGGCTACACGTTGATCGGCTTCGCAATGCGACTTGCAGCAGCGTCGGATTGGCATGGCGGGCGTCGAAACGCTTACACTGGGTTTGATGAGACTACCAATAGAATCAATGCTAAATTAAGAGAGGTGGAAGCAAGAAAGCTCAGAGATCAGGACAGAGCTTGGCTATACCTTGGCAGCCTGGATAGAACGTAGGTCTGCCCGACATTGGTTAAAGACTCAGAGTCTGCACTGATTCAGCTTGTCACCGCTCTAACGTGCACAATCTCGCTAGGCTCTCGTTCTTTACTGATCGGCCCATTGCAAGCATTATTATTGCTCCCGACCTGGGCTGTCGAGGCTGGCTGAGAACCAGCAACCCCTGGACTTATCCATTTGGCGATGCAAGAGCCATGGCGGGCCAGGAGCTGACAGACATCGCAAAGCCCGTACACGACTACATATGCTCAACTCGTACACCGCGCTCACGTTCAGACGATACGTCGGATCTTTCCAACGCCATACACAAATTGAATGATGATTTGATCGCTTGGTCCGCATACTGGGCACCGATATTTGCATCGCGTAGGTCAACTTCCCGAGACATTGGTCGTCTCTCTAAATGCGACTACCACACATATTGTCCTATATGCTGACTTGATGGACCATACCTCATGGCACAGACGAAACCTCTGTAAAGATTCTCGAATCACAAATCTACATGTACGGAAACCAAATCCGCACATACTTCAACTCGATTCTCCTACACCGCGTGCTGGAATCTACGGGTAACTGCGTCACCAGTGAAAAGGCTACGGATGCAATAAGAGCCTGCTATACTACGGCTCTGAATGTGCTTCGGGAAGCTATCAATTTCGGAAAAATGGAAGTCCTATACTATCTGTGGGATACGGCACATCTTATGATTGCTTATGCTGCCATGGTTTTGCTCAAGTTGCTGAAGCAGGCGCCGTACTGCCCAGGTGTATCCGTACAAGAAGCTTACAGCATTTTACAAGAGGCAGCAGATGTCCACAGCTCTGCAGCAAGGTCGCTATCCGCGGAATCTGATCAAACCGTCGAGTCCGTGTACACAGTCCCGGCTACGACCACTGTGGAAGCTCAAGCCCGACTACTGAAATCGATATTATTTAGAATCAAGGCTGACACAATACCGCCAAGTCTCCGTCCAGCACATCATTCGAGCGCTGCCAGCAGTGGAGAGGCATTTGATAATTTGTTGCCACTCTTGAGTTACCAGGGCACTTCATCCTCTTTTCCGCAGTTGCAACTACAACCTGAAAGCAGCGGGGAGGCTGTGACAACTGGCTGCAATTCAAATGTGGACAATGAGTGGAATGAAGCCCAGCAGATGGCGGAATTGACAAACGAAATGGACTTGTCTCTCGACTCGTCTTTCATCGAGAACTGGTTCACACAAGCGGGATTACTTCCCTGGGACGAGCCGGGCATATTCAAAGAACCTAGATGACGATTCAGCTCACAGGGACAATGTAGGCTATTTTTTCATTGCTAAGTGTGAGACGAATGCTTTGGATAGGGGTCGTGAGGGTTCTGAGAAATGTGGATGGGATATGGATGTCATGCCTTCGCGATGTAGTCTGTATATATAGTGCATCACATAGTGCTCAATATGTGTATCTCGTCACCCTAAATTTGAAGTAGAGGGGATACTCATAGTGTGGGCAATACTGTTAATACAAAGAGATACACTACTTGACAATGAAAGCCGCGGTATGATAGGAGATTAGTAGGTCCTGGAGAGGATTAGCATCATCAGTCGGCTGATGACAGCTCTCCGCGCAAAGCTACCAATATCAAACCTAATCTTTTGCAATGGCATACCACCCTAAATCAAAGAGGATTTGTATGATACTAGCAAAATGGCGAATACCTGGGCTCACAAAGGAGTTGTTCACGTATCTTCGCGAGAAGAGGAGGCTAGAGCAGAATTTAGCCACTGTGCTTTTAAGTGCGTAGTCAGAGAACTCATATCCGTGAATGTATAAAGTCTAGTTGAGAAGCAACAAAATTATTTGCACTGTTGCTAACCTTTGCGCACCTCTACCTCATAGTGATGAAACCTCAATGGAAAACAGGTTGCCAGTGTTCTCTGTACGCTCAGTGTTCTCAGTACGCTCAGTGTTCTCTGTACGCTCAGTGTTCTCTGTACGCTCAGTGTTCTCTGTACGCTCAGTGTTCTCTGTACGCTCAGTGTTTCATGTACGGTCTGCATCGCTTGAATTTTGGGCGTCTTCTCTGACCTTTTGGAATGAACAGGACCCAAAAAGGCCCTTTTGGTCATGATAGTTGCTTTTCTAAGGGTCCGGGTTGAAGGGAGCCCTAGCAGGGATTTCAGGGGCTCTGAATAGGTATAGAAGGGGTCAAATTTGCAGGGCCTTCAAAGAAACCTTCATCAATCAATTCAATTCAATTCAATCAACATTGTCAAAAGCTTCAGATTCCGCTGTATGGGCTGCTGTTATATTTCCAACGGATCTCTGCTGCAGGGAATAGCGTAGTTTTCCTCTTGTATATAACAGACCAGAACAAAACACTGATTACGACGCATCTAGTTTTCTTTCTCGAAAGGGTTGCTAAGCTGTAGCTATTTCAATCTGAGTAGTTCCTCAACCATGATTAATATTCTCATCTGTCAGCCCAGTCAAAGATCGGAGGCGGAAGGCTTGGGGTTCTGTCGTCGGTGGTAGAGGTCTTCCCAATTTGATATACTTCGTTGGGTCTAGACAAGTTTCGGGAGATTGATGTGAGCGGCGTTGTGATCGAATTAAGATCGACTGTGTAATCATTTGGACTGAGCCGCTTGCCCATAAGAGTTACGGACTGTGGGCAATTAGCCAGGGCCTCCACGTCACCATGGACGAACCTGTTACAGCCTGAAAGGGGGTCGTTCATCAGATGGACCAAGCGCTAGGAATCGCCGAGGGCTACGACGACTTATTGGCCGCCTACAATAAACTTCAGAATCAGAAGCGGAAGTTTTTCCTCATCACATGTCATTGTCTATGAATTCTACTTAACGCTAGCATAAAATATTGAAAGGTAAGAGCCAGTAAATAGGTTTAGCTCTCACTCTAGAGGGGTCTGAGCTTAAGTCCGTGTGCTCAGGTAAAAATGAACAACGTTGCACTATTGGGTTGAAAATGTGTCTTCCAAAACTGTTGGTCGTGATAGTTGCTTTTTCCGGGCTTAAGTTGATCACCACACAGGGGTCTTTAGGCCGGGCAGGACATTTAAAGAGGCTTTTGAGTACTGCTAGACTGACCATGCCGTTACTTATGATGATGACTACTATGGAGAGCTGCTATTGGTACAAGTGGCTGATTTAGGCGGACCTAGTTGAGCGGCATGTATGGTACTCTGTAGATCTAGGGCAGTCTCTTATAGAGGTGTAGGTATTAGCGGTATATTATATATGACTTCTTTTATCTAACTGTATTAATGCTATAAGCCTCTGAAAGACTAATTATAAATTAGAGGCAGAGGTAGACTATACGGTTAAGGGGTAGAGTCTTAATATTAAATAGCTTAAATAGACATCTTTAATTACGCGTTTCTGTAGCGATCTGATTAACCTATACATTATATTTCGTTAACGCCTACTTATATATAATGAGATATAGTATACAGGTTTAGCTGAGGCATTTCTTTCACTAATAACCACTCTAGGCACTTGCACGTTATTTCGTTCTTTCGTAGTACCTAGTGTAATATACTATGTCTTACATTAACCGCTTTAACGTGTGAGTACTTTATAATGGCAAGCTATGCCGGCTTTAGTAATAAGAGGCTGTGTAGCGACAAGGCACCTAGAGAATAATGGGTTAAATGTTTTCGTGGTGGGATTCCCTGAATTCGTGAGCGGGTCGTGCTATTCGTGCTATTAACCCTAGCTATTCGTGCTACTACCGCTTAATTTAGCCTAGTAGTTAACTGCTTACACTCTACTATACATTTTCATATACACTTATATAATTGCGCTTACTTTTTAAAAATTTAATTAATAGTATTTAAATGTATTATTCTTTTAATAATATAAGCTTAAGTAAGTATTAATAGAGTATAAATCACTTAAAAACGTGATTTTTAGTATTTTTAATAAGAGCTTAAAAAATTAATAGCTTATAAATATATATATATTTATAAGCTATTAATTATTCTATTATTATTATAAGCGCTATTTAAGCTTTTAAGGGGTTATTTATTAAAGCTATAGCTCTTTTAATTATATTTAAGAGATAATTTTCTTAATTTCTAATAACCTTAATACTATTACTTACTTTATAGCTTATTTACTTATTAATTAAGTATATAATTTATAGCGTTTCTTAACTACACTTATAATCGTATTATAAGTCTTTATTATTATTACGTCTTAAATTATATTTCGTAATAACTCTCTTATTATTAGGGTAATATATATAAAATTATATAATAAAGCGTAATAGGTTAAGGTATAAGCCTAAAATTAAAGTAAGGTATTAGCACGAGTAGTTAGGGTTAGTAGCACGAATAGCACGGCCTCTATAAGTATACCTTAGGTATTATTAATTTTTTTAACTTTTATTATTTTCATCTTAATAGTATAGCTCTAATCGTACCTAATATAAAGCGAGTAACTATTAAGCCGAAATCTAAATTAGACCTAAAGCCTATAGATCTAGACGTTATTAGTTATTATAGCACCCTTAATCTTCTTTTTTTATATTACATACTATTTATTTTTAATAACAAGAAACTAAATCTTAACGCTATATTAGATAAATTTTAGACTTAGAACGCCTAAGAGCTTAAATAGGCAGAGACGCAGCTTATTTAACATGTTAAAGCTAGTAATCTCCTATTTAACGACTTAATTGCCTCTCGTGTTATTAGAAATAACCACTAATTAAAGGTTATTTATTTCTAGAAGGAAATGAGGCACGATATATTTTAAACATGCATTTAGTCTTTACTACTTTAATGAGCTAAAGGTTAGAGATTAAGTGATAACTCCTAGGCTTTCTCTCGCAAAGAATGCTATAGCCTATAGAATAAAAATTATTCTAATAGCGTAAAGTAAAGCTAATAGTTTAATTCGTCTAGAAATAAGAGTATTAGCCGCTAAATATTAACTTTAAAGTTAATTTATAGTTATTATTAACGCTATATTAGTAGTATTAACGTAAGAAAGAGAAAAATTCTACTTTACTTACGTTTATTATTAATATAATAATAATTCTAGGAGATTTTTACTAGGTATAGTCTTTATTTTAGAGCTTAAAATAATACTATTAATAAATTTTAATTACTTTAAATTAACTTTTACTATTTAAAAATAAGATAAAGGGGGTATAGCTAGTAATAATAAAGTAAAACTAAAGATTAATCTCTCTATTTATTCTTATAATTTTAATAGACGGTTTTAAATAGACTATTAACTTAAAGGGTAGAAGGCTATTTAAATGTGAGAGTCTATTCGTAAGTAAATAGCATTAAACTTTTATATTAATAGCTAGCTTAATTACCCTAAAGCTAGACTTATTTAATTAAATTTTAACCTTTAGAATAATATAGTAATTACTCTCTTTACTTAAGTATATTAAATAAAAGGCTATCCCTTATATTAGACCTAGTAAAGGAAGAAAAAGAAATAAAGAAGTATATTAAACGAGAGTAATAGTATATATAATAGAGTATAGTACCGCTTAGTTCCCGAGAAAAATGCTATTATAAATAAAAGCTATTATTAATATACTATTATTCGTTTATAATTATAATATACTAGCTCTTTACTAATAAAGTAAAGCTTTTAAAAAAATAAATTTATAAGCTTAGCTAAATTCTACTTAAATAATATCGTTTATTACGTTTTTAAGCTTTAGTAAATTAATAAAGTTAAAGGTAAAGAGTAGAAATATTCGCTACTAAGATACTAGCTATATACACTATATACTAATCGGATTTAATAAGAATGCACTACCGCTAATATTTTATATATATAACTATAGGTTAAAAGTTAAACTTAAAACGCTATCTCTACTTAAAGAGGACTAAAAAAAGATAACTAAAAAACATATAACACTAGGTATTCGCTAGTCGTTATTAACCTAACTACTAATCTAGCGCTCGCTAGATTATTATATAAGATTAGACGGGATACTGCGTTTAAAATGTGAACTTGCCTAACCTTTACCTAAAACGCTCGCTTAAACCCGCTTCCCGTTCTCTTCGTTTCCCTATTCTACTACTATTTTAAGTCTTTGTCCTAGCTTTCCACTCTAATACTAAAGCGCTAGGTAAAGAACGACTACACGCTATATAGTAATACACACCCTTATATTACCTATTTTTAACCCTAGCCTTTATATGAAAATCCTCTCTAAGCTTAAGAGAAGGCGCTTAACGCTATTACCCTCTTTCTCTTTCTCTAGTTTTATTAATAAGTCTTTTTCTATATTAGTCTAATTA